TAACCCGGCCTGGCTAGCTTCTTCCTCATTTAATTTCTCTATCATTTTCCTTCAATGAAAAATAAGGGAATATATTCTTACACTGGTATAACTAATCTGCAGCACTTGAATGATGTAAAAACCTTCATGTGTTAATTATGAAGAGGATTAGGACCAGTGTGAACGACTCTTTTGCTATCTTCATAGATGGTTTGTGATGAATCGCCATTGATGACCCTAGTACTTGTAGTTCCTAAAAGCTGCTGATGAGCTCGATGATCAGTGCTGGGGCATGAGGAAGGTTCATGGTGCAAGAAAGATCTGCTGATGAAACTACGTCGCTCTGAAGGTCGTCTTGTTGAATGGCTGGTTCTGCTTCTGCTAGTGGTGGTACTGTGAATGGACGAGGACAAGAACAAGCTCAGAAGAGAACAAAGTAGGATGAGCCACAAGAAGAAAATTGCAGTTCTGGAATTACTTATAGAAAGCCTTCGTTGATCTCTCGCTCTTCTTCTTTCTGCTACAAAACTTATCATTGCTGCTACAGGAGATGATGAAAGAAGCATGAGAGTTTTGGATAATTCTGGGAGGGTTAAGAAGAGCTGCTCAGAGAGAGAGAGGAAAGGGGGGGGGGGAGGTTGAGTCAAGTATTGGTTCCTAGTCTTATGGGCGTAGTCACATGATCTTGACCTTGATTCCTGGAACCTTCTTATAATTCTTTAGTTTGGCTTTCTAAAGTCTTTGGACTTTGCACCTTTTTGTTATAAAATCAGGTCATTGCCTGAAATTGTGTCTGATATTATATGCACTGTTTTTACATCAATCAAAACTCAAAAGAAAGTGATACAAACCGGGGGAAGAGAAATTGTCTATGATTATATGAGATGTATATTTTTTAAAAAAATGACATTTAAATATTCATGGAAGTTTGCAATATTGATTATATTTGTTAATATTATAAAAAAGATTATATTTGTTAATAAAAGATTATCCTAATTTTATTGCTTATATTTGTTAATAAAGAGAGTAATGAGAATAGTATTTAAGAATAACTAAACGTAAAGTACAAATTTAAAAATTAAATTAGTGGCATTTGTGAAAAAAAAAATCAACTTGTTGCCCGTTTAAAAAAGATAAACTTTTCTTTTAAATTTAATTAACGAGGAAATTAATATTAATTAGTATTATTTTACTACACACAAATGTGCTCCCGTGTAAAGCTATCAATAAAAGCTGGTTCTGACAGGTTATCCTTTTAGGCCCTATATTATTTGAGAGTTGGGTTTGAAAATGATAGAAGATTTTAGCTAATATAAAAAGCTTTTAAGCCCCACATATATAAATCTTGCAAAAATTGGCCCGAGCTTGTATTAACTCTCATAATTTTTTGTAACTTTATTTATATAATTTTTTTAAAGTTGTAAATTAATATATGATAGTAATACAATTTATTAAATATTTATGAGAAAATATAATTGTTGGTCCATATACTTTAGTGTATTCTGGTATTAGTTCCTATGGGCTTGTTTGAAAACCTATTTTGAGAACAGTTTTCTGTTCTTTAGAACAAAAAAATAAAAAATCTGTTTGGTAATGTGTTTTCAAAAAATATTTTAAAGAACAAAAAAATAAAATATTGTTCTGAAGAACAGAAAAATGAAAACAACTTTTAAGTGTTCTGTGATTATTATTTTGGAGAACAAGGGAGAATAAAAAAAACACCTATTTTCATTATTTTTTTATTCTCAGAGCATGTTCTACAGGATACCAGTTCTCAGAACAATAAAATAAAAACAGTTTCAAACAGTCCTTATATTTTTATTCTGTTGTTTCAAGTTCCTTAAGTTTCACCTATCTATAATATTAGTCCCTATATTTTTAAATATGATCATAAGGACTATGGGTGTGTTAACACATGTGCATAAACTTTGTTACTTCTTACATTGACTTGTTAAAGTTATGATAAGTTGTATAAAAAATGAGTAAAAGATGGAAAAAAATAAGATACTAAATCAAAATCCTTAATGTGTAATAGATTAAGCTTCAAGAGGAAGGAAGAGCATGCCTAAGGAAGACATATAGAAACATTAGTAGTTATTTTTCTCATATAATATCAAACTCATCATATTTTTGCCAACTTGTCAACAAAATTAAACAAAGTTATATACATGTTAGCAAATTTATATTTGTTAGTGATGATAAGGACTAGCATTACAAATATATAAAATTTAAAGAACTTGTAACAATGAAATAAAATTATAGGGATTATATCAAAATACTCTAAAAGTATAGGGACGAACATTTATATTTTCTCAACATTTATGCTAGTTAGGTAATGAAGATGAAGTTAGTAAGGCTGTTGATAGTACCATCACCTTCAAGTAGTCCTCACTTTTTCTAATGTTTAAATTTTTGAATGAAAATTTATGATAATAAGAACTAAAGAATATTTACATTTTAAATATTTAATCAAGGCATTTTATAATTTACATACATGTATTAGTATAGTTGATAATTTTAATTTAAAAAAAAAAGTCACATGAGCTTTTGGATTGAGCTTTGAGCCATGTCAATAAGGATTGAGTTAAACAAAATTGTTGATTTTAAAGTACAAACACTTGTGGACTTAAAGCTTTAAGAGTCAGATTTATAAAAGTTAGGATTATAAAAGCTGGATTAGCTTTTATTAATAGCTCTACTTTTATGAGATGTAATCATACATGTTATATGATATAATTAAGTATTAAATATAAATATTTTTTTTAATGAGATTCAAAATTTGATTTGTCAAATTGTAAGGAAATTTCGTTCGTGAGACTCAGTACTAATTATTTATTCTTGATATTAAGATGTGAGGGATTAATATATGGGCTTCATTTGCTTTGACTACTTCGTCCTTTCTCCCTCTCGTCTTTCTTCCCTTGTTCCTTGACATTTTGTAGGGGCACGATGACGCTGATCTCACTGCGGGCTTCATTTGTCTTGCACTCACTTCTAAGCCGGATTCGGTTTTGATACCTGGTGCTCAGCACCAAAACACAGTCGTTTGGTAGTGTTATATTTTTTTTTTTACTTTTTTTAAATCACAAATTAATTATTATAATAATAAATAAATGTTATAAGATTATTATTTTAATATTTAATAAATAAATATTAAGATATTAAATTTCAATTTGAATAGTTTAAATAAAAATTTTGATTTAAACATTTTAGAATTGTACTAGAAAAATAATTTGAAGAGTTTAAAATAAGGGTCGAGTCTAACAAAATAAGCTAGTTTCTTACAATATAACAAATTAATGTTTAAATTTCTATTAAGAGAAGTACCTATATTTAAAACCTGATCATGCTTTGAATGATATTATCTCTCATAGATAAACAACTATGCAAAAGCAATAAAATGAAATATCTTTTGGTTACAATTCTAATTTTTTCAATAACTGTTCAGAATAAAATTTATATGTGAATTGTTCAAGTCAAATTTTAATAAATTCAACTATTCATGTTTAATTTTAACATCTTAATATTTATTTATTTATTAAATATTAAAATAATAATTTTATAATATTTATTTATTTATTATTATTATAATGAATTTGTGGTTAAAAGAGGAAAAAAAAATTAACACTGTCAAATGATGGTGTTTTGGTGTTGAGCACCATAAAGATAAGCACCGGAACTGAGTCCCTTTTAAGCCTGAACCAAAAATGACCATGTGTTTGACTATTCCATAAATGGTTCTCTCCCTTGGCTATAGAGGAATAATCAATGGTTAAATCGGGTGCAGAGAGAATAGTTTTACAATGATATCGCATTATCGTGTGTAATTTGATTTTTTTTTAAGAATAAATTTGTACAATAGAGAATAAGTAAAACAAAAAAAAAAATTGGGATGTTTTTTCACCCACTTGAATCGCCGCGTCTTCGTTTGTCGATCTTTGACTTGTGACCAGCGTTGAAGAAAAAGTTGACCACAAAAGACAAGTCAGATAAATTAGAGGTCCCAAATAACTTGAACAAAGAATACAGTTCATTTATTCTTTAATTTTTGTTTCAGCAAAGAAATTTAGAAAAATGTTCTGTCGGAGCTGTAAATTCCGTGAAAGTTCTAATCGGGTTGCTGAACTACGAAAATTAATTAACTACGCAGAAGAGTAACATCAGTCAAATGTTCTCGATCTTTTTAATTTCTTGTTTTTTTTTTATCCAGGCTTGGAGTCATATGCTTACAAATTTTTCATTTGTAACAAATAGTATTCCTTCTATCTTAAATTATAAAATATTTTTAAAAAAATTTAACATTTCAAAATATAAAATATTTTGATAAAAATAAGGCTTTATTAATAATAATTTTTTAATATTATCCTTATCATATATTCTCTCTTTTTAATATTTTTTATTAATAGAGTCTTAAATGAAAGGTATTTTTAGAAGTTTATATTTTTATTTTAAAAAAATAAATTTGTAAAGTGTATCTAAAGAGTTTTATTGATATATGAGATTTTATTTAAAAGTGTTTTATAATTTGAGATGGATGGAGTATTAAATTGTGAATAATAATGTTGGAGTGACGTGGAAATCTCCTCCTCAGAACAAGGTGTTGGCAAGTTTGAATGCGTGCAATCAACGAGGTTGGGGGACTTGGTCATCAATTTTAAAAATATTTGCAGTCATTTTTCCTTTAATTAAAAAAATTAACACTAAAATAAAAAAAATGATTTTTGTAAATGTGAGATGTCTTTTATATTTTTAATTAAAAATAATAAAAAATATATGCTAACACAAATTTAAAAATTATAAAATTTAGTACAATTTTTTATATGATCATACGATTAAGTTAAATTCCAACATTGTTAAGCTTATTTGCAACTGTCTCTAAGGCAAGAGTTATATACTTTATTAAAAATTAAGTCACTGCAATAATTTTGTTTTCCATTATAAATTATATCAATTTAATAAATTAATATATAACCCAGTATAGCGGGGGAGCACAATTTGAGCAAGAGCTGCGAATATGCGCGTAGTCATCCAGGAAGATTCGAGGCTCATGCGCATCTTCCGGTCTCATATTCGGTTCTTTTTTGTTTTCATCCAAAAATTCAAAACTAGTTTCTTACGTAACTGAATCGACCACCACCTTCTCATCGCATCATCGATTCGTCTATTTAAGCAAGCTCCTCGGTTTTCCCTTCTCAGCTTAATCACTCCGACATTTTCGCTCAGGTTTTTCCCTCTCTTTCCTTTTCTTTTCCACCCTCTCACTCACCACTCCCTCCTGATGACAATACTTTCTAATCGATAAATTTCTGAGAAGAGTTCGGTTTTTTATGTTCATAGACGAATGACTATATAATTGTCAATGTGATGCTGCCTTATCTGCATATGGATAAATATCCCCACCAATCCCGTTTTTTTTTTTTTGGGGGGGGGGAGATTTGGGCATCTAAGTTGTAAAATGACCTAGATAATCGTCTTGCTCGTGAGTGTTGTTTTCTTTTTTCGGGGTTATATTGACTACTAAAGACGGAGTGTAGGATCATGACTCGATATGGTATGACTTGTTTGTTGAGGATAGTGGATGCATTAAGCAGGAATTATTTGTTTAGCTCGTAGCATCTATCCACATCCATGTGAGGTTGGACCCGACACCTAGTTGGATAAGGCTGTTTGTTGATGTTGCATCTATCAATAGTTTCAAATTGGTGTTTTAGGGTGTTTGAAACTCCTTATGTCCACTTGACTTGGTGAATATGCCCGATGAGCTCAACTATTGTAATAACCAGTATATGTATTTTTTGTTTCAGTCCCTAACTGATTGTATTGCATTCTTGCAATAAAAAATTCTGAAACCATTGGGCATTGATATAATTGTCTTATTCCTTAGGCTTACGTCATGTCACTGGTTTCAGTTACTTTTTTGGCTTCTGTAAGTACTTATGAGCTTCAACTTCCCATGTTAATGCTCATTTGGAGATTCTGGATAGGCCCTTTTGTTGAAACGAGACTAAGAGAAAGGGAGGGGGGAGGGGGTTTTTCCAAATTTCAGTTACTTACATGAGAAGATCAATAAATTAGTTCATTCACCTTACGATTACAAATTACTTTTTCTGAATGAGTCATGGCACTTTGTGCTGGAAGAAGTGAACCTAATTTTGAATTGGTCTAATTATTTGAAATGTACATTATCTATAAGCTGTTAGTTGTGTGCCTTTTGTTCATATTAAGATTGGATTTTGTAGAAACCATAGCACGTTGTGCACAACAACAATGATATTTTGTTCTACTGCAGAACTATTGGCTTGCATCCGTCGATCTCCTTCCAACATCAAACTTGTACCAGCAAATTCTTGCTGGTACAGAAATTGGCCTGTACTATTGTGGGTGTGCATATGAGCCCTACAAATTCATTGAAATACAGTGGAGCTCAAGCCCTAGAGGGTGTGCATGGGGTCCATGTGGATCCTCATTCTCCATTTTCATTGACAGAGACTGATCAAAATGGGAAATTTCATTCATCAACTTGTGGAGCTTCATTTTTTGGTTCAAATCATCTGCTGTCATTGCAGTGAGTGGGATATTTATACATCATATAACAAATTACCATTTTTAAGTGATAGTCATTGTTTGTGGCAGTAAAGCTTTCCAAAACATGCAAAATAATGTACTACCTACCTACATGTTCTCCAGACAGGCATGGCAGCAAAGACCAGCTTGTTTGAGACCCATCAACTGTTGCATCAATGGTACTACTGAGATGTTTTATTGTGGTTTGAATTTCTATAACATTGTCCTGAAACCTTTCCAAGCTCACAGTAATAAATGACATGTTTATCCCAATGTTGGTTCCTTTCATCAGGTGATATGCATATTGCTGAAACAGTTGCTAACGTGGTTACTTCACTTCCTTTTATAGCTCTAGGATTGAATGCCCCCAGGTGGTATTCTTCTCTAAGCTTATTGAGTTCTTTTGGGCTTGGAAATCATCTTGCTTATCTTATGAATAGTTAGTCATTATGTATCTCCAAGTGTAGGAAGAATCTCAATTCCAAGATGTATGCTAATTCATTGATTGGAGTTGGAGTGGCCTCGAGTATGTACCATTGTTCAAGGGGAAAGCTGAGAAAATACTTGAGATGGGTTGACTACACAATGATAGCAGCAGCAACTGTTGTAAGTCACGCATATAAAGTTGAGAGATACTTTTTTACTACATTTTTATTGTCTTGAACATGCAAAAACCTTAAGGTGGACAATGTCAAGTTGTGTTTTCTCCATGTTATATATATATATATATATATCTATATGTTCCTACGCAGAACTGTGAATGGGGATTATGCAAATGATCTATCAAAAGTTCACCAAACAAGTTGTAGTAGCCTGTAGTTTAGTCTCTTTTCTGGACACTGTTCAGAAGAACTGGCAGATTGTGCATTTTCACATTAGCTATTTTTAGAGAATTAATTCACTTACTTCTCAATTTAACAGGGACTCACTTTTAACGCTGAGGGTCAGTTTCTTTCTATAACTTCTAAACGAGCAATTCATCCTTGATAGTTAATTCTTTCACCATTTCCTGGATCAAGTTTTTTTAACCTGCTTTTTGATCAATATCATATTTCTTGATATTTCCTGTGCTGTATTCTGAGTAAGGACTATATGAAGGATCTATTGAAAATTGGATAGTGAAGTTAGTGTCCTATAGTCTATTAATCTCTTTACAAGACAGTGGTTAGCATTGTTCATCGTTTAAAATCTGCTTGATTATTTTCATTAAAACTGGGACAGAAAACACCACAAACTGGTCAAACAGAAACTGAGCTAAGCTCACTTCTAGGAGGTTGAATAATAATCTTTAAGTTCAAATCACAAATATTGAAATGTAAAATTTATCTTTAAATTCATATGTTCAATCACCTGATTTTAACAATAGAAATATTATTGGTTGGTTTATTTCAACTTTTGCTTTAACAACTTATCACGGGACACTTGAAAGCTCATCCATTTCACCACTTGTAAGCAATAATTTATGTAATTACATTTCTAACGCAATTAACTTTGGAAAGAAATATATCTGCCATAGAACTTTGTTGTCCATGTTTAACTTCATGAGCCACGAGAACTACCACAGGCCATAGTTGTTTTTGGTGTGATGAAGAAAGGAAACGTGCTCTCAAGGTTGTAAAGATTGAGATTGTAAATCAGATAAGCTGAAGTGCAAAAGATTGGATTGTAAGATCTGATCAAGGATGGTGAGATCCTGTCTCTTGAGGGAAAAAGATAAAAATATATTTGCAGTTTTAAAATTTTTAGTTCAGCATAGCACTAACAACATCTCATCATCCCTCAAGCAAGTCAAAAGCTGCAAAAATAAGCAAAAAAATATCATATGTAAACACAACCTACAAGTTTCCAAAGTGAAATAGCATTGCTTGATCTAAGGATCCTACAATTTTGGTCAAAATCTTTCCATAATCCTGGCTTTTGGGAGGTGGTGAATCCAACTAGTGATCCAGACAAACATGATTGCTCCTATAATTTAAGAGAGGACTTGCTCTAATCTTTTTCTGTTAGCTTATCATTTGTGAGACAGAACATTAAAGCCTTATTTACAAGGCACGCCTGTCTTTTTCTCTTTTCTTATGCTACCTACACGGCTAAAATATCACTTTTAACTTTTTTTGGTTTTACTTTTGGGATTTAGATATTACCTTGGGATGTCTTACTTCAGAAACAGTACCAGCTACTAGGGGTTGCCTGTTGGCAAAGTTACTTTGATTTTCCTTTGAATATTGTATCATAATCTTGTGCATGCGTTGCGTTTTGCATATTTAATGATTATTTCATATTCATATGCATGTGTGGCAAATTTAATTTTTATTATGACATCAATCAATAAATATTGTCTATATACCTTCATTTCTGATATGTGCATGCATGACACAATCTGAACTGCCTTCCCGATTTTTGTCACCACAGCCTCTTTTGCAGTATTTTAGATTGCCAAATTTAAGATTACTTTAGGTTGTGCACTCACTGAATCACTTTTGAATATGAAATCTTTCTACAGTGTCTGTCAAGGGCACTGAGAAATGAGAATCCAAAGATGCTGATGGCGGCAACTGCAGTTTTTCTTCCTGTTCAGCCATTGATGGTCTCAATTGTTCACGCTGGGATGATGGAGGTAATTCATTTCTTACCTCTATTATTGATCTTGAGTTATGACAATTTGGTTCCATTACCTCTTGCAAGCAATACATCATTGGTTGCTCCAAAAGACAAAGGTCTGGTGAAACCTCTGACCTGAATTTTGGATCTTTTAATGGTCTGGATCAAATTACGTTATCTAATTACAATCCAATCCAAAGACAAATGTGTTTTTGATTTAATTACTAATCACATTCGACATTTCAAGCCAGAAACGAGTTGCACCTGGTTTCAAGATGTTGCTTCCTTCTTTTTTTTTTTTTCCCTGATGCTAAAATTTGTAATCACTGTTGTTTGATTTGAGCTAGGGGCCTAATGAATCTGGGAACTTTGTCGTATTGAGCTAAAGATGGACAGGGCCAACAAATTTGTGGCCTGGGTAAGGTTGGCCCTGGGCCCAACATAGCCTAGCCTGGTCCTCTCCTTTAAATAAAACTATAGGATGAATGAAAATTTTAATTTTTTTCAAGGATAAATTTTAATTTTACAAGGACTTGTGTGATTTTGTTCTAGGGTTATCATATAATTTCTACCGAACAGTTAAAACAAAAAAGACTTGCCCAACACAGGATACAAGCCTGGGCCAATTTTGGATCAGGTCAGGTTTAAGACCACGTGGGAAAAGGAAGAAGGACATTTTGATCTGATTGTTGTTGTAACAGAGTTCCGTGAAAAGTTGGAGTAAAATATACCTGGTGGGAGAGCTCTTGAATTATTATAATATATAAACAAATGGGGGAAAGATTATATAATGCCACTACGTATATATATAAAGTAAATCTGTTAGTTTGTCAATGACAATGGGATTGGGGGACAATATTGAAAGTATTTTAATGATTGAGGAACTAAATTGAAACAAATGTTTTGTGAAAGATAAAATTGAAAGATCCATCCATTCATCCATCTTTCTATCTATCAAGACCAGAATAGAGTTTCCCTAATCTACATGTCACACACACGCATAGGTCATGTTTCTTCATAAAGAAAATGGATTGTATGCAGGTAGCATTTGCGAAAAAGGCATTGAAAGATCCAGACCTTAGGATGGCCTACAATGTGCATAAAATGTCATCATTACTGGGTGGTGTGCTTTTCATAGCCGATGATTTATATCCTAAAACTCCATACATTCATGCTGCTTGGCATCTTGCTGCAGCTGTTGGTGTAGGTACCTGCAATAAGCTTCTTGAATAGGTTCATGTGTCTCCTCTCTATTTAAAAGCTGCCAATCATGCGGCTTATGACACATTGATCAACCAAATTTGTCGATATAACCTGTATGATCGATCTGCTTGGATTAGAAGGCAAGAAAAGGCCTTTGTGTTAGATTATTAGGTAGATCAACCCACTTTAATTTGGATTCCATATTTATTAACGGGCAGAGATGTGGTTTTATCATCTTTCATTGTACTCTTATTGATGAATTTGTGATGTTATATATTGTAGCTTTTGACACTGAAGAATCTTCTCCCTTCAAGGGTATGGTGAGAACAAAATCATCTCTATGATGACTGTATTATTAGATTCATAGAGATATAAGTGCCTAAGAAAATGTCACATTGATATTTTTGTTAAGTTAATCCAGAATGCCAAAAAAGAAAACTTATGTATTACGAATTAAAAAAAAACCAAAAGTAACTGACTTTAGTAATATGTGATCAATCGTTTATTTAATGTCTATTTTTCTTTTCTTTTTCTTTTTGACCATCGACTGTCAAAAGTTTAAAAACTACATGATAACTTTTTGAAATTCACTTTCCAATAAAAGAATTCCGTAGGGCTATTTCATCAAGGCATAAACAGAAATAGCATATAAGTGAAAGCAAAATGAACAGGCTTTTGCTCGAAAAAATGAAGGAAGTTTTTTTTTTTTTCTTTGAACCTTACAATGAGGGTTATTCTTATTCAATTCATGATTGTAATGTGAAATATAAATATTGAGGATTCTGTGCAACTTACAGTATTATACATTTAAAAAGAGTAACAAAAAATTAAATAGTGAAAAAATGTATAACGTGTACTTGGTTTTTTTTTTTGCACATTTTTTTTTTGCTTTTGTCTATTTAAAATAAGAGAAATCAAAACAAGAAAGTTTTTTATTCAAAAAAAAAGAGGAAATAAATATGACATGAGGGCCAAAAATTTGAGGAAGAGAAGAAATCCACAATCCAATATTTTGTTTCAAACTCTTGCAGGACAAAATCCGTTTGTTAGCTAGAAATAGAGGAGTCAATTTAGTCTGTTGAAGATCAAAATTAAAATAGAAAAATGCGATGTAATAACTACTAACAAAGATGCTTAATTATTAAACCAAGTAATAGTCATATAAAAGATAAGAATGTAAAGCCAGTGATCACATGCAATCAGCTCTATGTATTCTCTCCATTTGGGACCTATCGAGTTCCGATAAGTCAGAAGTAAATTTGAGACTTTTTGATGCCAGCGAAAAGCTGTTGGTGTTAAAAGTCGCCATCAAGCTATTCAGCAGACATAGTGTGCGTGTATAATATTAAGCATTGTACTGCCTCAACTTATAATATAGCAGTGGTAGGTTTCCTTTTTATATGTTTCTGTTAGCTTGCATCTCTCTAACCAGAGAGATTGAGATGTGAGTGTGAGTGTGAGAGAGAGAGAGAGAGAGAGGTGTGATATTATATCCAGAGAGAGTAGCTTTCAAATAGACTGAACAATGGAGGTGATGTTAAAGCTTCGGGATACAAACTGTTATTGAACAATCTTAAGTAGCTTTTGCCGTACCCGGATCATTCAACTTAAGAGAGAGATCAATTCTACAGCGTGTTGCATCTATAAAAAGTAGATATATATAATGGATTGATTGTAAACATGAAAACAAAGTTAGAGTTGGCACGTCAACGACAATTTTATGTACGGAGGATTACTTTTACATATTTATTTATTAAACTTATTGGTTCATACAAAGAATCAGATCAGATCAACCATCAACGATATATATATATATATATGTATATATGTATGTATGTATGTATGTATGTAACTGTTTATTTTGACTTTTTATAAAATCAACCAGAGTAGCATGCAATCTTTCTATTCATGATTATATTAATTATCTGATCCACTTATTGTTTATGATGAAGATATAAACTATACATAAACCATCTCTTATAACTCTCTTTCCTTTAACTGCATAAAAGGAATTACGTTCTTTTATTTATCGGATCATATAGACGTACAACATTTAACATATAAATACAATATTACAGTTATTACTTATTCTTTTTTTAAAAAAATTCTATTTCATTACATATACACAAGTATCTCATGCCCTAACATTTAGTGACCATACATCATACATACTTAATGTAAAACTATCTTGATTATGACAATACATCACCTTTCTTTTCACACTTTGTAAACTTAAAGATGAACTTTCTTTTATCTTAAATTATAAAATATTTTTTAAAAAATTTAATATTTTAAAATATAAGATACTTTGATAAAAATATTTTATTAATAATTTTTTTAATATTATAATTTCCATTATATTCTCTCTTTTTAATATTCTTTTATAAATATAGTATTAAATGAAGGTCATTTTAAAAAATTTATATTTTTGTTTTGAAAAAAAATTAAATCTTAAAAACATATTTAATGAATTTTATTAGTATGTGTGATTTTATCTAAAAATATTTTACATTTCCAGACATACAGAGTAAGTTTTATCTCACTTGGCTCTATGTATATTTTTTTTTATAAATATGATTTTTAATGTTATAGAACAGTCAACTAATATATTAACTCTATATATATGTAGCTTGTTACTCTCCCTAAGGCTTTCCATGTATCGTTCTCTCTCCCGCAATTCTGTAACGTACAGTTCTTCCTAGCTCTCGAACTTCATCTCCTTCCTTCATTCCCTATCACTTTCTCCTCTAAGCTTCATCATTCAAACTCAAAACCTCTGATACACAACTCCATTTCCCTTCACAATAATCAAAGAGCTTCCACATCCAAATATATATATATATATATATATAGAGAGAGAGAGAGAGAGCGCTTGGAAGTGCATCCATTTCATGAGTATGTCTGATTCTTTCATGAGTACCTTCAAGCTTCACTCTTACACTCCAAACCCCACCATTATTTCCCCATCAGCTCCAGAAATAGCTCCGAATCCTTATTGCAATTGTGCTCACTGTAGCCACTTTTTCTCCTTCGATATTCACCATCTGGGTGCGTAATAAGCCATACTTTTTCTTGTGTTTTCTCACAAGTTAACATTCATCAGCTCCATAAGAATTGTGATATTATATATATATATATATATAGTCTTTGTCATTTCTGTTTCGTTCTTGTGGATCCAAAGACGTACGTGATTTGATTACAGATTATGTAGGAGATCATGAGGAAGGAGGAGGTATTATTACAAGTAGCTCGAGGTGGAGTCCGACAGCTGCACAACTGCTATACCTTGAGGAAGTGTACAGGCATGGAATCAAGACACCGACGGCTCAACAAATCCAGCAAATAACTTCGCAGCTACGTCGTTTTGGCAACATCCAAGCCAAGAATGTCTTCTACTGGTTCCAGAACCACAAAGCAAGAGAGCGCCAGAAACGTCGTCGTTGCGAGATGGAGATTCCTCCTCCTCTTGCTCAGCAAGACAAAGATCATCAGCTGTGTGTTATGCCACAGCAAGAGCCTCCTCAAGGTATAACGGTTATTGGCCATTACACTTTGGGAGAATATTCAGTTAGTTTCCAAAATATTAAATTAATTTCAGTTAGGGTTTTGATAAAATTTTCAAAAATATAATGCTATCGATATGGATTCAGACGCAAGAATTTTTTTTTTTTTTTACAATGTAAAAGTTATATTTAAAATTTAAATTTTATTTATGATTAATGTTTAAATTGATATTTGCAATTTATTTTTAAGAGTTTTGTTAGAAAAATAATTGTGGACTTAACTATCATTCTCCCTTACAGCTTTCAATTTCCCTAATGATGAGTTTAGTTAAGTATACAGAGTTGAATTGGAGTGGCTTGAGTATCAGTTCACTGAAACCCTACAGCTGCAACTTTATCCGTACAGGGGAGAGAGGGATTTAATAATGTTAAATATTTTAATGATTAGATTTGGTGGCATGAAAGATTTGAAGTGGAGATTTGATTTGTCTGGACATGTTGGGTTCAGGATTGAGAGGGACAGGTTATGAAGTTAAAGAGACAAACAAGTTGGCATCTCCTTTAAACTGCAGTGCACTTGCAGAGGTCTGTACTCTACATATTACCTTTCCCTTTCTTCTGTTTGGTAAATACTACACATTAATTGTACGTTCTCCTATGTATTATTTATATTCCAAGCCGTGTGTGTGTGTGTGTGTGTGTGTGGGGCTGCCCTCATCAAAATCGATTCTAAAGGACCATAATAATAACATCCAATTATTTGCTCTCCAAAAGTCAATGAAAAACGTCAGGCCAGAAACATGTTTTAGGAATATGAAAAGGCAACAAATATCCCGTAAAAGAGATTCTTTGTAAGTAGGCAAGTTCTATCTATTACAAGTAAATTAACTGTTAAACCATATGGATATTTATGGCATGTAAAATTATATTCATAGTGAATCCTTTTTTTGTCAGAAAAATTCGTGTTTGTTTTTTATTAATTCAATCTAAAATGTTGACTAAATGCACCTTTGATTTTTTTAATAATTTTTCAAATTGAAGCAACAACACTAATTTTTCAAATTTGTGTGAGGAACTAATTGAGCTTAAAAAAACCAAATAGATCCTTAACTTATTGCAGATTGTGTACTTAGGGAAAGATATATAGATTGAATTGAAGAGCTTTCAATCTTGAAATAAAGTAATTACCTGAGTACTTTATAATTCAGAAGACATTCTTGCATCTATCTATCGAAGCTATTTCATATACAAATTCTCGGACCGGATATTAACTATTTCTTACATTTTTTGTTGATTTAGTAATAGTCAAGATATATGATCTTCCTCACCTCAACCCTAAAATAGTTAAATTGTGTTAGAGTACCATCCATCAGTTCTGATATTATCAATTTCAATATAATCTGAAATTTTCAGGTTTCTGATTCACAGAATACAGAAGAAAGACCAGGAGCTTGCAGGAGGACTCAAAGGAGGGAGGGAGAAAGTACACACATTTTGAGAATCAAGAGAGAGGAAAGCCAAGAAGCTAGGTGCCAAATTAGAGATATGTATTGCTTCCTTTCAACTTCAACTACAACTCATACACAAACTTCAAACCTTAAAAATTATCGTGATGATGAAGAAGTCGCAGATGACAGAACCCTTAAGCTGTTTCCACTCAAGAGAGAGGAATATGAAGATGATGAGGAGGGCATTTATGTCAATGATGAAAGCAGGAAAGATAAACTATGTGCCTATAATGCTTCCATGGTCTCTGAAATCACTTGCAACCAGTTTTTTGAGTTCCTTCCTTTAAGAAACTGAAGGTTTTATTAGTTAGCATATATGAGAAGTGTGAGAGTTTAGAGTAATATTATATATGTACGTACGTAGCTGTTATGTCCTAATTGAATGGCTTTGCATGCACTGCTTGTCTTGTTTGTGTGTGTGTGTGTGTGTGAGAGAGAGAGAGAGAGAGAGAGAGACGTGTGTTTTAGCCGGACAACTCACACATCTTTTAGTTCGATCAAGAGTATCAATTTCTCAGAATGATCGATGTCATGCTTTATTAATATTCTTTGCCACTATAATACTCATGGGTTATATTAATAGGAAAATTGAAGATTTTAATGATTTGGCAAGTTAAATGAGAGCAGCGGGACATGATTGAGTTTGGGTTTGAGGATTGAAAGCGATAAAGTCAGAGTATGAGATTGCAAAACTGAGAAAGGCAGGAGTCTTTTTACATGTCATCGCTGAAACAATGCCTCAAAAAGAGAGCGTGGATGATGCAGGACAGCAAAATGAGTGTACCAACACACAGGCATGGCGCCGACACAGGACGACATCCTCAGACTTTTAAACATTTCTAATAATTATTACATAAATCTCTGCTCTCAACATCTATCTTCTTCGTTCGTACCAATAACCCAGTGCCCCTCTCGTCTTCAATTCAACATACATCTCCTATGCAGTGATGATAAACTACACTTCCTTACTATTAAGTTCATTTGTTTTACAGTGGGTTACAATATTTAAGCAGAGGTATATAATTTCTCAGGTCAGAGGTCTCACATTGAAGACTTTTATTTTTTTTATTTTTTTGGAGTTAAAATAGCGATTTGACTCTTAACTGTAGATGCAATAGTTAGTTGACAAGAAATAGTTAAGACCCTAAACTCAGTTTTTATGTAATATTTCTTCTCAATTTTTTAAAACAATACAATGTAAATCTTTATGTTAACAAAACTTAATTGTGACTGTTAGTTGACAAGAAATACAAAAAAGACCTCAAAAATTATATAAAAAGACCAAAAACATAACCATATTTTTAAAGTGGTGAATAATGAGTTCATACTTGCGTGGGAAAGATTGTTAGAATGTATAAGCAACTACATACTTGACTTGAATGTATAACAATATAATATCCACCTGGTTATAACATTGTTGTTAAGTACAAAACCACACATTGTATGCTTTTCATGAAATCAACTTATTTCTTGAAGTTAAAAAAAAAAAAAACTTTTTTCCATTGCTCAGGCAACAAAAAATTGTTAGTACATTAAAAAAATCATTTTCCATATTTTCTGGGGAAAACAATAATTTACCATTGGACCTAAACCAATTGGCTCTGTAAGATATAGTTCCAGATTCTGAACTCAAGGTAGATAAGAACCCAAAGGTGTCACGTCCAACCACAAATCTAGCAATCTATAATCTGGAGCAATCTCTATTTCATGCATTTGCTTGCAATGCAAGACAAATGAATTAATTACATTTAACGATTTCATCACTAAAATAATGGGGAAACAATGTAAAAGAATAACAAATGTGCTTATACAGCGGACAATGAAACCCTAATTTTTAAAGCAATTTTAAAAATAACCTAAAAAAATAAAATTTGAAAATAGAAGTAATGTAAAAGAAATATCTAAAAAAGAAAGGTGAGGAGACAAAAGGCCCTGAATTTGTACAAAGAGCAATCTACTGCTAAAACCTTAACACATGGAGATATCAAACTCCAACTAATGTACAGGCAGGGTGTGAAGTACATCTGTCGTGTCACAGCTTGTTAGATACAGTAGCAGCTGATTCATTCAAACATGAAACAATCTTCAGTGAAATGTTGTGGAGGTGCTTCCAGCGAAGGAACGAGTCCCAATCCGTAATCGGCATCATATGTAAAAAAAGATGCCACTCCCTTCAGATTTGACTGTCAACAAAATCATCTGATCACCCAAAAATTGTGTTTGCCCTCTCACCAGAGGGCAAGGGAAGAAATAAAAATTGAAATAACCACAATACCAGAAAAAAGATGGCCGGCAGGAACACATTCTCACAGGGCTATAGTAAAGAGAAAGCCATCAAGTTTCTCAACTTCAATTTGCTAATGAGGATCTAGACTGATCAGTTCTGTTTGTACGGCACATACAATGTGGGCATGGAAAGCTATATATTGAATCAGTGGGTCTTTTGAGCTCGAACCCCTTGGAATCACTATGTGACCTCATGCTCAGCAGTTGACGTTTGACAGTCTTCCATCTAGAAATTAATCATAGAGGAGAAACTTTTCAACATTTCTAGTTTCTACAAGGATTAACAAACTGTTATCTTTTCTTAAGAACATTAACAAACTGGAAGTCCTCAATGATTTTGTTTTACAATCTTAATTAGCATGAGATGCAGTTCTGAAAAAGATTAAAACCAGACAAACTTAGCACACCCTGATCAATAAAATTTATTGCTAATCACAAGACTCTATGATGTAAAACACACATACTCATACTGATTTGAACAGAATAGGATAAGGAAGAAGAAAACTGAGGGGAGAGATGACAGAAAACAGAGAAAGTGGGGTAAGAGGAGAGGAACGCCGGACTGATAGAGAGGGGGAGTAGAAGGAGAGAGACGCAGAGTTGAGAGACATTCACATAACTCAGCAATTCATTCATTCAAAATCTAAAAACTCCCTTACATGTGCTGCATGGTGGCTTTTTATAGAAGCCACAATTAAGGTTTCCTTCTTATCAAGGAAAAAAATAAATAAATAAATAAAATATAAGCTTGAGGTTTCCTTCCCTGTAAGGAAACGTCTACTTGCAGCTCATTTAATACATGAAGTGATATAACAACCACTTGCTAAATAGAGTAAAATCAGAAACTAATAAAATATAAAATTAAGATAGATTTCCTCTTATAGCAGGCTTCTTCAAAATATATTAATTCCTATATTTCATCACTCTAGCATTCATAATTTTGTAAAGATGAGGCTATCTCAACCTGAGGGGGGTGCTTAAATGACTACAGTTGTGCCAAGTTGTAAATTCAAGAGTTGTGTGTGCAGCACTGTTTTCTACGTGAGATATTTGTTGGTGGCCCAGATAGGCATGGTCCCTTAGCAGTCATATTTTTCAGAGGTTTTGGAAGCGTATGTTTCCTTGAGTTGAATAAGCATACAACATGGTTTTAATAATAATAGTAACCACTCCCACTACTATTTTGATTGAATTATCTTGTTCAAAATCCATCTTTATTACTATTGTCAAACAGTTTCAGCAGGAAAGAAGGCCATTCACTGGGTGCTGCTTTCAAGAGGGAAGAATCAGCTTCCAGTGGAGGTATTATCAGGGATCACAATGGCAATTGGCTATTAGGCTTTGGATGTAGAATTGATTATTGCCCAACCATTGTAGCAGAAATTGAAGGAATAGTCTGGAACTTTGCTGGAGCCAAGGTTGGAGACGTGTGAATGTGTTCAGTGACTGTGCAGAAGCTATAAACACTAATACCAGCTTTGATAAAGCTTGCGTCCTTACATAGGTGTTATAGAAGTTAAGCAGTTTCTAGCAAGGATTGGGCCGTACCGATTATGTGCATAGGGAAGGAAATGAATGAGAAAACATTATGGCCGATGTCACACAACCAAAGCTTTGATGTATGTTCCCTTGAGCTCAATAAGCATAGAGCATGTTTATAAAAGTGACATACTAATGCTTCATCTAATCTCTGTTTATTACAGTCGTCAATTATATTCAAAAAAATAAAAAACTAAATCTATAGTCTCAAATACCAACTATTCCTGCTATAGAAAACTGAACAAAAAAGAAATAAGCAGTGAACATAATACATACCCAATGTTGGGATTCTCAAAAAACAATGCCAACTTCCGCTTATCAGGCTTAATTGTCTTAGCATGTCCACCATATAAGTATCTTCTGTGGCCCACAAGAAAATGAGGAAAGTTACCACCTTGAGTTGTGACAAATACCTCACTATGAAGGCAAACAGTGTAGTCTATAGCAGCCATCCTGGAAGAATAATTCTAGAAGTAACTCAAGTCAAAACCACAGCCACTAATCAATCATGAATGTGGTCAGCTGGGGCAAAGTATAAAAGTGTACCTTAAATGGGGCAAGCTCTTCTTCAGATGCCAAGGTTTCCTTTGTCTGCAAATTGGGAAACATTTCCAGTAGCGGAGCCATATTTTTCTCAGCATTATATATCTTTCCCGATGCCAAAAAGATAGACGTGTTCTTAGAGAACCCATGCCTCTAAGCATCAATCCAACCTGGAGATGGAAGAACACATCAATGATAATTTTGAACAGCAAAATTGAAGGGGAAATTTATGAAAATTTGCCATCATGACAAGACTAATAGGGACATGAAAGTAATAAAATAAAAAAGTGACTTCCAGCAAGCTTTGAAACTCCTAGCAAGACTAAAAAACTTCCACGATGAAGAGAAGGGTTCCCTTCATTATTCCTCCTAATCTTGCTGATGAAGATCGAAAGAGATTCAAGGAGACCATCACCTCTAAAGGAGTGAGGGGACACTTCCCATTAATCCTGATAACTCCAGGACGTATAACTCGTCCAGGTTTAGTAAATTTCCCTTTCCAACCTCTTTCTCTTGCTGCATCCATGTCATTTTTTTCTTGCTTTCCACCATCAAAAACACAACACGAGAAAGCAACCATATCCTGCACATGATAATACATGGGACAACAGTTGCCAAAAAAAAAAAGTAATAATAATAAGATATAATGTTTCACAATTAGAGCAACAAAATATTCTTATTTGCTTAAATCTAACCTCTTCAAAACGAAGATGTATGGAGACATATTTTCCACCATTTGCTCCACTACGTTCTCTCATCCTTGTGACCAAAGCTTCACCTAAAGTTAATATGGGACTAGAAAACCGTAAAGCCTCATAATTTGCCAAGCATCTAAGCCGCTGGACAGCTGGAGGAGCATCAAATGACAATCTATTTGCAAAAGGAGAAATCCTTATGACCCTGCATGGTTTAATAGAGGAACTTGTCAAAAACGAAACATATTAGTTTTCCCCTCTCTGAGTTTTGAAGTTTATCAAGCAATTCATGGGAATTCACTTCACCATTTAAACTTCTGAATTGAAACTAGCTTTGCACGGTATCAAAGCCTCCAAGACCAAATAACAAAGAGTTCAAACTTTACTTCCCCTCATTCACCTTACTTTGTTTAAAAAAAATTATGCTTCAACACAGATGTGGTGGCTCAATACTTTGTCAACACTTCAAGTCCAAGGGGCTTTCATTGAGGGGCAGTGTTAGAGGGTAGAATATAGCTATTCATAATCCTTCACTTAACAGCTCAAGTTTTCAAGTTGAAATGGTCTTTTACATAACCTCTAAACATCAAAGATAACATGCCACAATGCAAAGATGTCTTTTAATAATTCTTCCTACTTTTCCAAAGTTTAACCAGTTACAAGGCAAAGAAATGTTAATAATTTTTTTTTTTTCCTAAGACCACCCAAACATATCTTAATACTTTTCAGGTTGGGGCTAGCACAATGACCTTTCAAGCAAAATAAAATATGGAAAAAAAAAAACATTGACCTCTTCTTTTCTAGTGTCAACAGAAATGAGATGAGAGATGAGTTTATTCCCCTACATCTAAAAGCATGAACGTTCAAATTGTTTAACAGTTACAGATCATGTCATTATATAACTACGATTAGAAATGCTTCACGCAGTGATCAAATACTCACTTTTCTTCAAGCAACTTTGGGAGTACTATGTCTCTGTAGTACCCTATAGAAGACCATGCCTTTATCCTGAAATTGTAAATGTTTGAGAGGTTGCTGCCAAATCTTTCCATTAGGTACTCAGGAATCTTGT